TGATTGATGTAGGAAATCCCATCCCTAGCAGGTGGGCCTGAGCTATATAAGAAAGCTAGCAAAGCAAGCCAAGGGAAACAAGCCAGTAGGCTGCACTCCTCCATAGTCTCTGCTTTAGTTTTTGCCTCCAGGTTCCTGCTTGAGCTCCTGCCCTGAATTCTCCTCATGATGAACTATAATCTGTACGTTGCAAAAAAAAAAAAAAAATATCTCTTTCCTCCCCAAGCTTCATTTTGGTTGGCAACAAAAAAGAAAACTAGAACCGTGTCTTTTTTGGGCTTATGTTTACCCTCTTTATATATGCAAATGCATCTGAATATTTTAAACGCAAAACACGCACATTACAAGTCGACCTCATCAGCAATGGGCAGCTGGGCTGTTTTCAAGTTGGACAGATGACTCAAGATCCTAGCTGTATCACCTATGACCTGTATTGTGTTGTTGAAGCAACATGACCTCTCCAAGCCTTGGTTTTCTTGCCTGTAAACTGGGGATAAGGACACAAAATTTAAAGGCTTCTGTAAGGAGAAAATTGGTTGCCTATGCATTCAATCAACAATACTCATATTTCCAACTAAGTAATAGTGGTAATGACAAGAGCAACTGTCAATGGAAAATGCCCCCAAAGGCAATGAAAGCTGAGAGGATTAGTAATCTCTATGCTCTGTGTCCCCTCTTAGGTCTACATTGCTGAGTCCTTATAAGATACTCTGATGTGATTCACATACACGACAGGATATGCTGTAAGCTCTTGATTACCACACAGCAAGAATCCACATGTCAGAATATTAATTTTGGATAAACTTTAAAACGAAAGATGGGAAAATGATCTTCCCAGAAAGACAGCCATACTGTGCCATAAATACTAAATAATTAACCAAGCTTTCTTAACAGTGAAAGTCATGAGTCACTTTAATGAGTGGCTTGTGGGAGGCTGGACAGTCTTCCTCCCAGACCTTCGGCTCCATTTGTTGGCTTCATGTGCATGTGGAGGAGAGGCAAAGGCACGAAGAATCCAAACACTTCGTAAATAATCTCTTCTAGCTGCACTCCCAGAAATGTCCTTTTTCACTGCTGGAATCCTGGAATGATGGCCGAGACAACCTATCCCACTAATGCTTATTTTCTCTAGCTTGACTACAGACTACAATTATTTCAATCACAGTTGTTACCAGAGTGGAATTAGTGTTCAGATTTGCCAGCAACTTTTATGTAATAAATCAGAGTTATTCCATTACATAAAAACTGTCTTGCCAAACAAGTGCTGCTCACTGCAGTTTTTACTAAATTGTCAGAGAGCACAATGGATACATTCTGATCAGCCACTTCTCTACCTCCACACATTCCAGCCATCTCCCCTTTAATCTAGAGGAGGAGAGAGATAAAAGAGATTATTTAATTAGTACTAAACGGATCTTCACTCAGATGTGTATTCCAGGTACAGATGGAGAGTCCTTCAAGGACAGAGCTCAAGAGCTATATGTAGGTATGGGTAGCGGGCACAAAAAAAGCATGTACACATACATGCCCAGAGATCTGCAGCATAAATAAATGTTCTACCCTGACCCCAACTCCACTGTTGGGTCTATTTGCCAAATGGGATAGCTTAGGCAAGGTAAATTAGTGGGGACAGAGGCTAGAGAAAAAGCTCCAGGCCAGGACAAAGAGCTGGGAACTCAGACACACAGCCTGGCTTGTGGTGGGTTAGGGTAAGACACTGGTCACTAAGACCATGCTTCCTCTTGGAAAAGAAGTTCCTTGACCAGGGCAAGAGTATTCATCAAATTACTGGGCTTTCTGTTCCCATGGCTTCTCTCTGGACATTAAATGTCACACATGTATTCAGAGGTTCATAGACAATCATCTCTAAACAGTGACAACCAATAGGAAGCCACAACTACACAATGGTAAGTAATGGCCCAGGGTCAACATTCATGAAGAAAACAGCCTGGACAAAAAAAAGTTTCAAGGTAGCTGGGTATCAATGCTTCTCAAATAAGCTCTCACACTTACAAAGGAAGTGGAAGAGGCTGGGAAAGGAAAACATGGTCTCTGTATGTATGAAAAGTTGTACACAAGGGCAAGCTTGCCCAGGTGTGCTGGCATTTCATCACATAATAAGCTTCCAAATAATAGGACTTCCAGCTGTTCTTCCAGGCAGTGGGCAAAACAATTCTTTGTGAGCCTTCTCCAGACCCACGGACTCTGACCCACGGAGGTCGCTCACTGGTTTGCTACTTAGGTTTTTCTCCCCTGTCCTTGAGAGGCTGCCTCTGCCACTGCCACCTCACGCTGATCTTACCTGCAAGGACTTCGATGGAAAAATGCAACTCACTCACTCCATGGTTCCACTTCTGCTACCTCTCAACCGCAGGTACATACACTTGAGCAGTCAGTCCACTCCAGGTCTACCCCAACAAAGACCTTCAGTGTTGAGGGTCTGCCTCGTGCTCAGATTAGGAGCCCATCAGGCACTGGCAACAGCATTTCCCTTATCTGTTGCTTTTCCTTGAAGAATAAAAAGCAATAACCAGAAACACTTATACTCAGCCTGGGGTGAATTCTGTCACTCATGGCTGGTGATAGTTTGTTTGTGGTATCCTGAGGTTGTTTTGTTACTGGATTGTTGTTGTTGTTGTTTTTAAGACCCTGGGAGAGCCCTCACACCATTCTTGTTGACATCTAGCATAGAAAACAATTATACCTTTATTGCACAAGGAAATAAAATAGCTATGTGTTAGCTCTGTCTTTGGATGACAGCAGAGGCATGGATGCTTTGTTAAGCATTCCTATTTAGGAGTTTTGCACAGAGCTCGCAGCATCACAGCCAAAACAAACAATCTGAGACGGTGCTGATTAGTGGTCATGAATCTGCTGAGCACAGGGAGGGGAGAGTCATTTCTTAGGAATGTCATAAAGCAACCTGGGCAGTAGAGACCAAGAAAACTATGTGAAGTCAGTGGGACAAGCTACCTTCAGAATCAAAGTATCTTCATTAACCGGGCCAAGAGAATTCCTTAGTAAACCCTATACTTATATACTAATATCCCCCAAGTGTATGTTCTTTTTATCTACTTAGAGAAATTAATGTCTTAGCTCTGGGAATAATTCTTTCCCTTCATTTTTTTTCTTTCCCTCTTGCTGCTGGTTCACAGTGGAAGTCATTTATTTATCAAAATTCACTTTATCTCTTCAGGCCATAGAAATAACTCTTGCCACAGTCTCAATGGTACGCACTCGGCTTGTGGATCTAAATTTGGAGAGGAGTACTGTGAACTAAAAGCAGCAAGCTTCTCCTGCTGCTCATCCTTGCAGTGGTAACACTGCCTCTGATCTCTCTAGTGTCACTGTCTACACACCTTTGAAAGCACAGCAGTGTGGTCTGAAGGGCCCTAGGAGCTACTCTCTTAGGACTGTCTCCTTTGCCCCCATGAATGGACCCTCTCACCCCCGCTCTGTCTCGCTGCAGCCACCCCATCACTGTGACAGGAAGTGCCATGTGTTTCCAGGAACAAAGAGAACTCTTTCCTTTTGGAAGAGCATCTCAGAGAGACTCAGATGTCTCCTTTTCTGGAGCTCTAGGTAAAAGCTTTCCTAATGGTGAGCACTTCAATCCCTGGGTCAAAATCACCTGCCTGCACGGGGCTGTCCTCTCATCCCATCAGGCTCCTTTCAGAAAGGAAAACATACCCTCTACAAAGGACTCTTCAGTGGTTACCCAAAGAACATTTTTGAAAATCTAAACAAAGTCTACTTCCGTGGAATGAATAGGATATGTCCAATAGAACGGGAAGAAATGGCAGGGAGAAGGGACTTGACTCTACTAAGCCCCCAGATGTAAGAAAATGGAAATCCAAAGGAGGAAAAGGGAGGCAAGAGGCTTTCAGTTTTGTTTTACTCTAACTGCTGAACTGCGTTGTTTTAGTCTAAGTATGCTGGAAGCTACTACTATGGGGCTTCTCCTCCCACAGTGGGATTATCAGAGCTGGATAACACTCCACCTTTCATTTTCCTGCATTCACAGCTGGTTTGTCTGCAACTTAAAACACCCACTTATGTGAAGTAATACCAGCCACGGATCCAGCAAGATCCTGGCTGTTAGATTTCACAAAAGTCTATCCCAAGAAGACAAGACAGAAAGACAGGGTAGACATTTGATCAAAACAATTTAAAAAAAAAAAAGAATTAAAAGCACTTTTAAAGAAAGTCATCAAATGGTAAAAGATGCGTTACAACAGGGAGAGAAAACAATCACAGTTATTAATCAATAATGCTGACTACAGTGCCAACGTGCTTCCATGAATATAAATATCCTTTATAGTACTACTCTTTTATATATTTTCAAGTTGAATTAGTGGCATTGCTAGATACAATAAACTATGTGAAAGGCGAATAATTGTATTTCTTGGGGGAATTTATCTTACAAGGTGGTTTTATTAGGTCTATATATTTATCAGATCTAAGCAAAACCAAAATAGAAAACATTGAACCAAAATAGAAAACATTGTTCAGGAAGCCACGAGAAGAGGTGGGACCCCAGGCACTGTGAGCACATCCATGCCAAGTTGGGAAGGCACAGAACTGAATGTCAGGTAAGCTGCTACTTGAAAATGGACCTTATATTCTAAACCCCTGCTCATGAGCCTTACACTCAACACCAGCCTAACATGAGACTTTGTTATCTCTTTCCCAGTCCTCCAGTCTTGCATTTTCATGAGATGGAGTGCTCTGAGGAAATATCAACAAATTGGGGGCCCACAAGGATGTCCAGGAGGAATCATATATCCCAAGTCTTCAGGGAATCAGAATGCTTCCTGCTATAATTCCAATGCATGCATCCAGTGCTTGCTACATTCAGAGCTACCAAGAAAAGCATGTCGCATGCATGGGCAGTGCAGGGAAAGGATCTAGTTAACCTGGAGGCAACAACCAAAAGGGTGAGGTTGCAGCATGCATTGTAAACCACACTTGGCCTTGGCTGCCATGCAGAAAAGACCTACATCAAAGAGTCGGCTGTGCGGCTCCTGGGTAAGAGTCGATATGAGAGAGGTGAGTTACTTCAGCAGTGACAGACATGGGCAGAAAAGGTTCAAACCACTATATACAGAACACCATACAGAGCACTGGCATTTCACACAAAAAGAGGCAGCTTTGGGGCCCAGTGGGGGAGACAGAAAGGGAACACAGACTGTTCTTCGGATTTGACAGTTTCTTGACCAGCCCTCCATATGCATGCGTTTTTATACAGTGTCTTTTGATTTGACAGGTAACCTCATGACATCTGCCACAACTGTTTAGGTGTTTTGAATATTCGGGAGGAGCAAGGTATTGGTGACATAAAGATACACACCATGATTTCCTGCTGGGACAGTTTATTTGAGAAGCGGGGCTGAAGTTGGGTAGATGAATAACAGGCATTTAAGCACCAACATACTGTGGTTTCAGAGTTCATAGGGAACCTCCACGCAGAACAAAGTGTTGAGAACCCAAAGCTTGTGAATAGCAACACCACCCCTAAAAGCTACCTATGTCCCTTAACTTCCACATACTCCCAGTGAAGCCATTTTTTTTTTCATACCATATTCAGGGAATGGAACCTTAGATAGAGGTGAGATGCCTTGATATATTCTTTCAATTAAAAGTGACTGATCAGCAAACAACTAAACACTTGAAACTTTTTAGGTTCTTCTCTGTCTCCGTCTCTCTCCATCTCTGTCTCTCCATCTCGCTGTCTCTATCTCTCTGTCTCTGTCTTCATCTCTGTCTCTCCATCTCTGTCATCTCTGTGTGTATATCCCTGCACATTCTTTGCTGTGCAGGCCAGAGGATCACCTTGGGTATTGTCCCTCAGAGACTATCTGCCTTTTGAGATAGGGTCTCTCACTAGTCTTCAACTCACCCAGTAGATAAGCTGACTGGCTAGTGAGCCCCAGGATCTGCCTACTTCCCCGGCTTCCCTGTAGCTGGGATTTCAAAAACATGATACCAAGTCCATTTTTTAAAATGTGAGTTCCTGGCAATCATTTTCAAGGCAAGCACTTCCAAGTCTTCCCTTGAAAACTGAAAGCAACACTGATTGGGGAGGGCATCAAGCTTCCTTCAAATGTCAAGGACGCATCAGCTAGCTGAGGAGTGCTGTCTAAGAAGCTGCCTGCCCCCACAGAATCCTGCTCTTTTTTCTCCTGCCTGTTCTGCTTTCTGTGACCTCGAATGCATTGAACAAGCTTCATGGAGGTCTGTGCTGTGCTATAATGCCAGCCATGTTGTCCTCTCCCATAGCCCTTCAGTTGGAAGAAGAGGGAGAAATCAAGTTTACTGTTTGTAACTCGCCCCTTTTAATATGCTTTCCTGGTGCTCACAGCTTGTGTGGACCATGATGGCAGCTGTGACAAGGACTTTGGCACACTGTGAACAAACAGGATGTAGTATCCAGCTGTCACACTCACTGACAGCAGAGTACCCTCTCGGGCCTGAGTTCCACCAGAACATACAGATACATACAGTCAGACAGGACACACGAGACTATTCATTCAACAGATATTTCCAGAGTTCTTTAGTGACAACTCCACTCATTGGAAGGGCAAAAATTTCAATGAAACACAGTTGCTGTTTCAGAATAATAAATACAGCCAAGAGAGGCTTGCTTCAAAATACTACCAAATACATTTTTTTTTCTGAGTGGAGACAAGCTGTGTATCTCTCTGGACTTCAAAGTACTTACTAACTTGTAACTACTACTCATCTGGGATGTTGAGAGAAATAAATGAGTAAATGTTAACTGCTGTGTTAGTGGCCAGCTCTGGTGAACACTATGTCAGCAACATCTGCTGTGACCTCTAATACTCAAATCCAGGTAACAAAGCAGAGGCTTCTAGAATGAGAGGAGCACCTCTGAGTGAGCTGGCATGGATTCTGATTAGTGAGTAGACACTAATCTGAGAGAAGGTGGGTTGAGAACACAGGAGTGGAGGGGTAAGTGTGGGCAGAGATTTGGTGTACAACAGGACACAGAGCCTCACAGATTCTGGAGCCGGGTGGATGCATGACTAGGAAGAACTGAGGAGAGACAGGGAAAAGATGGTGAAGTATCTGTGTGCCAAGTACTATGGCTGGTCTCCATCCTAGAGAAAGCTGGAAGCTGACAGAAATGTAGGGGAATGGCAACATTAGCCTTGTCTGAGGGTGAGTTAACTCTGGAGGCCACACAGAACAGGAAGTTGAAGTGTTTAAGAATACCGAGAAAGATAGATCAGTTTATCAAATTAAATCCCAGAGGAAAGAAGTCACTTATGCAAATCTTTGTTAAAATTTATGTGGGTGAATATTTGCCTGCAGGTATGTGTGTATGTGTACTAGGTACAAGCAAGAAGGCAAGAAGAAGGTATCAGATTCCAGAATTGGAATTACAGACAATCGTATGCCGCCATGTAGATGCTAGGAACCAAACCCAGGTCCTCTGCAAGAGCAGCCAGTGCTGTTAACCTCTAGTCCATCTCTTCAGCTCCAACCTATGCAAATCTAAAGATGAGATTCTGCCCTGAAGGACAACTAAGGCCACCTTGGGAGTGGCTTTCTTCAGAGACTGGTACTGCCAGGGTCTCTTTAGGGACTGGCTCATAATATCATCAAAGCAGTTACCTGAATCACAATGTCCCTCCATGTGTATTTCTGGGTCTTTGTGCCACAAAGAAACGAGAGCACATGGCTCTTTATCTTTTGAAACTACCTTGCTGAGAGGCTATGACGAAGGCAGTGTTAAAATGACAGAAGAGCATCCAAGATAGGCATGTTTGGATACCTATCGACCAGGGGCAGCTGTGCAGATAGACACACAACCACAATGTCAGGCGAACAGCATGTGGTCATACTTAGGGAGGTGTGCCCAGCACTTTCTCCGCCTCCACAGCTCACCTCCTAAAGAACTTAGTAATATCACCAGAACCATCCGTGACAGTGGCTCTCAGAGGAGAGAAACAAACTGGCAATCACAACCCTGGTCCTTTTGGGGCTTGGACATTTGAGTTCCCTGAGGATGACCTGAAAAACGTTCCTAGAGGGAGGCTTTCTTTTGGTCCAAAGAGTAAGAAGAAAGGTTGTATTTTCAGAGAGCACTTTCTCTTTAAAGAGCAACCAAGTATGTTTATGACCATTTAAGCTCAACTTTCTAGTATAACCATGATGGGAACTCTACCCCCTCAGCTCACAAAGCGTTGTCTCCATGCCTCCTAGATGGATTCACCTTGATCCCAAGTCCCTCTGCCTGTGGTCTTAAAGAGAAGAGTGATTCCCTGAACTTAACTCCATGGAAACCGACTGAGATTCCCCTATAGCCACGTCCACTGTGGTGGTTAGTAGCCATTCAGCCAGGGAATGCTCAATGTGCTCAAGTGAAGGAACATTGCTAGAGGTTTTGTTTGGGTCTTTTGTCTCTGCCAACCCCCACCATCCAGGACACTCTAACAGATCTTCAACTGAAAAGGTCCAGTCTTCCTAGCAGTCACCGCTAAAGGATGGAGACCGTCTCTCCAGGTGTGCAAAGGGGGGAGGGGGGGAAGGATTAGTCTGTGTAACCTGACTGACACCTGTTCCTTTCTCTCCCACCCGAATCAAAGTGAGAAAACCCAGTGAAGGCTGCACCACCCTCCTCTCTGCTGGCCCCAGCAGACAAACTCATGCACAGTGGCGGCAAATGGAACCCTACACAGTAACATCAGCACTGTCTGTTGCCTTCCCCGAGCCGACAATGGTACTCGTGGGATAGAAATGGTAAACCAGAAAAGACTAAATAAAGCTCCTGCCTGCATGGCCCAGCAACCCCATCAACAGAAAGAGCTCAGGCTCTGCCTTCCCCAGCAGCCCCACTGTGAAAGTGAGGGCCTCCACACACCCACATTTGTTAGCAATTCCAGAGGAGCACACAGTAAGGAGGAATCCTGAGTCCACAGACAACAGCTTCATATTTGGATTCACAGAGATCAGAAAGAGTTCAAGGACATTTTTATTGTGTATGGTTCGATAAAGACACAAAGTAAAAATAGGTGTTTTAAAATTTAAAACCTATAATCCAATATTTAAAAGTAGTTGTCTGAAGAACAATCATTTTGTTGTTGTTTGCACCATATCCCAATCCACTAATATGACTTCATATAAACTTCAGTGTGTCCTTTCAAAGTTGTTCCTTGTTTTCAAATTCAGTTTCTCACAAGAGAGTGACATGGTGCTGCCAGGAGAATTCTGTTGGCCGACCCAGGAGTTGGTGACACCAATTAACAAGGGGTGTGACATCATCGGTCTCTATGATGATGTCAGAACAAAGCAAAAAAGGAGAGAGCTGGCAGAAATCCCCTCATCTTAACAGCACGTGCTACAGCTTCCGGTTGTGACAATGAACTACGGCTATGTAACAGAAATTATTGGAGGTGGGGGTGGTGCACCCCGAAATGCTGGTCTTGTGATCCTCTTGTAGGTGTTAAGCTCTTGTGAAATAGAATTATCATTCAACAAATTGGCTCTTGCAGAGGACACAGGTTCACTTCCCAGCACCTCACAACTGCCTGGAACTCAAGTGCTAGAGGATCTGATGCCCTCTTCTGGCCTCCACAGGCACTGCACAAGCAGAGTGCACATGAATACATACAAGCAAAATACATCTTAAAACACCTGTTCTTCACCTGTTTGGCTTTAATGTATTGAAGAGCCAATATAATGCCTATTTGTGGCCTAAGGAGCAGGGCCTATTGGAAATCAGCAAGCTTCTTTCTTTAGAAAGCCTGTATTGGGCACCTGTTGCATGTGTAGTAGCACATAGAAAGGACACTAAAGAGGTGTAAGAAGCTGCAGAGATGCATGCCAGCATCCTCTCTCTCAAAGGGGCATGAATGTAAACAAAAGCATCATTGACTTACCACATCCATTCTCAGAGACAATCCCTCAAGACAAAATCAGCTGCCAATAAACAAAGTCATTAACACAATGTGACAAGGTAACTCCTGAGGTGAAGAGATCATAGTCATCTCCTCAGGCA